CCCTCAACACAGTGCAACACCCCTTTCAAACAGTGTCGCATCCCGAACGTTGTTTAAGCGACATACTTGTTACCGTTGTATTGCGGTATTTTCAAAATTCATATCATAACAAAAATAAAAACCGGTATTCGGTATGAACCGTTATACCGCCCAGCAGAATATTCTGCAGGAACAGACATTAAAGTCCTCTAAAACCATGCCAGGAAGGCATTTAATTTTTTTATACCCCACTATATGTTATAAACTCAGTTACAGTTCACAAATATCATCATTACTGTGTTATATGAAGAATGTCAACTGAATATGGTCATGTGGACATGAGCTAGGGAAAACACCTCGTAAGTGTATTAAAGGATCATGAAACCTCATGTTTCAGCACCGTTTAGTTCTCAACACAGGATTGAAAAACGCTACAAAAGTGGGTGTAGTGCACTGCGTCCCATATATAATTTTTTTTTTTGAGGGGTGGGGAAAAAAATATTCACCTAACCTATCGCGATTCTTTTTAAAACGATTTAAAAATCAACTGGTTTATCTCAGAATGGATTTATATTTACTTATTTTACTTTTCCTAAGAGGTGGTGGGGAGAAGTTATTGCTTTTATTCCAAAAGAGGGCGAAATGTATCGGTGTGTTCGACTTGAAGCAGCACCGCGCAGACGATCGGTACCGCGAGTACATCAGAGTACCGCGAGAGCGATTCGAAAGCATGCGGAGCTGTCTGCTCTCTGTAGCTCTCGCGGTGCTTTGATGACATAATTTAATGATCGGTCTGCACAGCGCCACTGTATTAGATGACGTCGTATACATTTCAAGCCAGTGTGAGAAAGCAAAACCATGGCGGAGGCATTCGAGAATTCTTTCTGCACCTTCACGTTTTGAATCCCAAGTGTGGAAACATTTTGGATTTTACACACTGCCGGGAAAACATGACTAAAACGATATGCAAAATAACATAGCATTTTATTTTGTTTCAGAAAGTATTTTTTCTACTCATTTTGTTTAACATTTGACTATTATATTCATATGCAAGTTCAGGGTTTTGGTACTTGAAAGTTTCATGGTTCAAGGTACTTTAAAATATACACTGTGTATGTGTATGCTCCTGAAATAAAAGTTAAGAAAGATGTGATGCATTGTTTTTGTTAATATGACTCATCATATACAGTCTCTTTAAGGGTATGATTAGGTATTTTCCATAGTCTAGTCTTTAATAAGCAAACAAAAATCACAATAAATTGTAATATCGAATCGCAATAATTATATAATCGCAATACTCAATTATCGCAATAGATATTGAATCGAGAATCAGGATACACAGGTATTGGGATTGTATTGAGTATTTGCAGTGTGTTTCTGTGATTGGTTGTGTTGTGAGTATTTACAGTGCGTTTCTGTGTTTGGTTGTGTTGTGAGTATTTACAGTGCGTTTCTGTGTTTGGTTGTGTTGTGAGTATTTACAGTGCGTTTCTGTGTTTGGTTGTTTTATGAGCATTTGCAGTGTGTTTCCGTGTTTGGTTGTGTTGTGAGTATTTGCAGTGCGTTTCTGTGTTTGGTTGTGTTGTGAGTATTTGCAGTGCATTTCTGTTTTGTAGTGCGTTTCTGTGTTTGGTTGTGTTGTGAGTATTTGCAGTGCATTTCTGTTTTGTAGTGCGTTTCTGTGTTTGGTTGTGTTGTGAGTATTTGCAGTGCGTTTCTGTGTTGTAGTGCGTTCTGTATTTGGTTGTGTTGTGAGTATTTGCAGCGCTTTTCTGTATTTTGAGTATTTGCAGCACATATGTTGTCAAAGTGATTAAGACGTTTTCTTAATTTGCATTTGTTTTCTTAAGTTGCAGCATGTTGAGCTCTCTCAGCTACCATACGCAAGTGAACGAAGAAGAAAATATTTCTACAGTATTAAAAAAACAAAATTATTATTCCTTAATCAGTGTTTGTACAAGTAAAGGAATATTTCATGTTAAGAGTCATATGCTAGGTCTGTCCAGCTTTGTAAAATGACTGTTATTTGCTAACATACCACAGTACAGCAGATTTGTAGATGCGGAAATCGCCAGGAAGCCAGATATATGGCATTTCATTGATATCTGGATATGATATTTCATCATATGACAATATTGTGATTTTCTTTTTTTTGTGTATATTTATTCAAAATCATATCATTCATCTTTACTGAATATCAGTGCTTTGCATGTTTATTTTATGATATATTGTGCATATAATAATAAAAATAAAATACAATCAGTATAATATAAATTATATAAATCAGTTCAATTAAATATTCACAAATAATTCAGTATTTAATAATTCAATAATTCACACACAAACTCAGTAATTCGCAAAGTAAATATTTAATTATGCATGCTCATTTTTCTTGTTTTTACATTTACATTAACTATGATTACCAATACCATATTAATATAATAATTAATAAGCTTCTGATACCTAACGGTCATTATTGTATATATGGCAGCGTGACTGGATATATTCTGTGCACCCATGTAAGGGTGTCACAATGGCTTTGAAGATTAATGAGTATCGTGGAGGGCACTCAAGACTCCCTGACGCTCGCATATGCATGAGATGCTGATTGAGCAGTGTCACCACAGCACCTACTGTTGCCACGGCAGCAAATCAAAACCTTTGCAAATGAAAGCCGTTTACCTCTGTGTGGCTCCTCCCTCCTCCACGTGGGCCACGATGATACCGTGAGGAGAGCGCTTGGACCCTCGCCCGCCCGTGATCTGGATACCCAGTCCATCCTGACCCTTCACCATGTGCATCTTCCAGATCCGGCTGCCCTCACGGGGCTGCAAAGAAGAGGGGGATATTTATCCGTATGGTGGAACAATCAGGAACGTTCTTCATTATATAACACTAAATAAACTGCAAGTCCTGCAGCAGCTGTTTTGTGGTTTTAACTTACACTACATTCTTCAAAATGGTTCCCATTTTATGCAGCATTTCTTTCAAGAATAACTAATCATCTCTGCAGTTTCAGAAAATTTGGAAACATTATTGTTTATACAATTTCAGAGTATTTACAACTTTTTACCTGCAAATAAGAAAAAAGGTTTTGTAACGTTATGTGGAAGAACTGAACTGATGTATTTTCCATGTTTTTTTTTTTACTCAGACTGACTTCCTCCTTTGGAGAGTACATAAATCAAAAGAAGGGAAACTTTAGGAGCACCTGTTTCTGACAGATTCAACAGCCACTTCTATCACTGTCTGAGCTGGATGTCATCAGTGTCATCACAGGGATTAAAGTTCTGTCGCTACGACGGATTTCCGTCAGTTCATAAAGACAGTCACTTACTGGTAAGACAAATAAGTTACCAATCATATGAAATGAGTATTAATAAATTAATTTGTACTACAGAGGTGGCACAGAAGAACACAAAAGTGGCTTGTAGGGGTATTTTCAGATGTTCAATGAGGCTCAGAGGTGGCATGAGTGCAATTAAATCCATAAATTCATGTGGAGATTAATGTTTTAAACAGATGTTCAATGAGGCTCAGAGGTGGCATGAGTGCAATTAAATCCATAAATTCATGTGGAGATTAATGTTTTAAACATAAAATTTTGAATACAGAAATATGATTTAAATAACTGAAATTATACGCTAAAAATGAAACTAAATCCGCCAGCAGGTGGCGGCAAGTCACTGATTTTTATCACTGAATCATTCATTCAATTGATTCGTTCAAACGGCTGAATCATTCAGGAATGAAGCAAGTGACTGTCTTTATGAACTGACGGAAATCCGTGGTAGCGACTGAACTTTAATCCCTGCGAGTCAACACTGCCATTACTGTTCATGAATGCTCTTGTCCTTTGATAAAAGATGAAATTCGGTCTCAAATATGAATTCAGGTTCATCAAGTGACATTTAATGTTCTTTCTCTCTGTCTGCTCTGGCATTAACTGAAAAAAAGGAAACAATGAGGTGAACTTTTAATGATTTTTTTTGTCTGTTATGATGGATAAATAGCTTTTAACAATAAATAAAAGATGTTATTATTCTCCGTTTTGAATGAATAACTGACAGCTTCATAATGAGGTTAAATGGACGTAATCTTGTTTCTCAACTCCAGTTGCAGGAAAAACAGACATCTTCCTGACTGAACTTAATATATAATATAAGCCCATAACATATCATAACGTCATGACATTCAGTGTGCGTTTTTTTTTCAGTCAGGCTTTACATAATCAACTTAGGCAATGTAAAAAGTGATTTAATAAGAATATTTTAAATAAGAAGACTAGACACAAAATTGCAGTTAAATATGCTAGTAGATTTGAGAAACACAAATAGCAATGAATTATGCAAACATGATGAATCCATGAGGATATTGTTTTCATCATCTGTAAAATGATTTTGGTAGCATTGCAGGACTACTGTAGCAGTCTTACTCGAAAGGCAGCGTTCAAATGCATGAATTCATTTCAGCCACCGAGCCATTTATAGCTATTGTGCCTGACATCAAAGCTTTTCTAACAGTAATACTAACACAGAAGCCCATGAAATTTCAAAAACGTGTCATGACATTAGCCTAAAAATATATTTTTAATCAATATCCTGACAATTATTCCCTTAGCATACTAATTTGATTTTACACTACCTTTCATATTATTATACCATAAGTCATTAGTACCCATTTTGTCATTCAAAGCTCTGTTTTATGTCTGTATGTATACAGTTAAAGGAAATATTGGGATTTTCAATGTCAAAATGGCTAACGTTAGAGGGCTTGCCAAAGCCTAAATGTATTGCAACACAAATAAACACTGGAAAGATGTTAACATGGTGGAAGATTTAAAAAAAAAAAAAAAAAAAACAATGGGAATTTTCACAGACTTGCCAAAATTATTTGTACATATTAGCCAAATATTCTACTATATAAAAGATCAGATTTATTTATTTATTTTTAATTATTACTTTCATTCAGTAAGGATGCATTAATTTGATTAGATGTGACATTTTTGCAACAATGCAAGTCTTTACTATTTACTATGGATCTTTTCAACTTTCGATTCATCAAAGGATCATGGAAAAAATGTATCAAGGTTTCCACAGAAATTAAGCAACACATTGTATTCAACATTTATAATATGCAATGTAAGCACCACATCAGCATATTAGAATGATTCCTGAAGGATCATGACACTGAAGACACTGAAGAGTTATGGCTGCTCAGCCTTGCCATCACAGGCATAAATTACATTTTAAAATATATATTGAAACAGAAAACAGTTATTTTGAATTGCAATAATATTTCACAATATTACGGTTTTACTGAATTTTCACATCTAATAAATGCAGCCTTTGTGAGCATAAGAAAATTCTTTTTTTTTTAAACATAAAAAGAATCTTACTGACCACAAACTATTGAGTGTGTGGTAGCCTATATCTGACTATTCAGCCTAGATAGAGGGTGCTTGAGGTTTCTGAGTAACCTGATTAGAAGAGCTCATTATTTTTGCAATTCCGCTTGGTGCCTCTTGTGGTGCAGAAACACACTTTACCTTTATCACTCCTTCTCAACATGACAGTTGAGTTAGCACACACCTCAAAACTACAAACATGCTGCCACTTGTTCATGTTTCCTTTGAAATCTGTCTAGAAGATGGGCATGTTCTCAAGGAAAGCCTGTCGGCAGAGTGAATCACCGACATGAGATATCTGACTGAGATGGTCTGCTGCCTCTCTTCTCACGTTCTCACGCTTTTCCTGCTCACTGTCAGATTAAGCTTGCACATCCTCCCACTGACATGTTCCTACTCAACTCTTGCACAGACACATTAATGCTACTAATTACTTGCATGGTAATCTCTGTAGGACTGTATAGAAAATGTATTTTATCACACTGGATAAGTGTTTTTAAAAGAGAGAGCACATCATTAATGTTAAACATAGATTATGTTTTCTGTCATCTCATTTGTGAAGTCATAACTGATTAGTCATCAGTGTGTTTGCACAAGTAAAAACATTCTTAAGATAAATACACAATGAATTCTTCTTTGATATTGTGGTTGGTGAGATACAACATAATGGAGACAATACACATTCTGGTTAAGATATTACATTGCTTCAAGGTAATATGACTAATTTCAATGGCTCAATGAGATAACGTTGATTTTAAAATGATTTTTCATTTGCTTGTAAAAGTGCCAATATCTGACATGCTTTGAATCATTTAGATAATCCACTGAAACAAGTGAAAACATGCTAATTTTTTTTAAAGACTATTTCCTTGACCTTTAAATACAACTTTCATTTGTGTAACCTAATGTAGTCAAGTTGATTCAGGCATATAAAATAATATTTTTGACTTTAATAATAGACATGCACAGATATTTAAATTTAGCAAATACCAATAAATGGACAAGGAATAAAATTATTGTTTAAAATAAATGAAAAACAAAAAACAAAGAACTAAAATCAATTGGCATGAATTTAGACATCATGATATAATAAAGAACAGTAAGAAAAAAGGACATTCATTTTGAAATTTGATAAAGATTATGCTACATTTAATTAAAATTTATTTTATTAAATTCCGTTTAACTAAAGCAGTCTAAATTTAATAGCAGGAATGAAATTGCACAATTAAATATCTAATAATAATAATAAATCAAGTAAATAAAAAAAACTCCACTATGGTACCAATATATTGTGCATCCCTATTAAAAATAGAACCCATCTCAAGCCCTTCAAAGAGCGTGTATTTGCTAAATCTGTGTGGAAAAACTTTAGTTAAGGACACAGTTATACAATGAAGCATATGGATTCAGTCTGTCGTCTCATGTGGCTTTCCGAAAATGGCTTGTTGCAGAACTCATGGAAGCCGCACCTTGTCTGCCTTCGAAATCCCGTGTGATTGTTCAAAATCAAACCCATACAGCTTTTTGGGATGACCCCTCCAAGCAGTTCTTCCAACCACTGACACATGGATACATCTAGAAGAACCCTTATGGTTATTTTGAGTGAGCCACTCAGTTTAATGTCACAAGGCTTGCATGCTCCAAGGAACACTAGAGGTTCCAATGGAGAATCAAATCGGAAACATATGCAGTTAGCCGCACTGTGGGGTCCAAACTTCTAATTAGATGATGAGCATCAACCAACCACTCATTCAACCTCAAAGCAAAGTTAACGGCATAGTGCGCAAATGTTCAAATATGTGCACTTCAAGGGCGTTTCCAAAGACTTTAAAGTGCCCTCTTTTCTGTTTGTTTGCTTAGTTTTTTAGGCCATAATCTGTGCAACTATTCCCCAGACGCATCAGACTTCAAACAGTATAATATATCATAATGTGGGTTGTATTAGAATTTAGGCTATTTTACAATATATAATATACCTTAATATATTTCATTGAATATTTTCATACTGTTATATTTCTTACCTGACTGGAAGGTTCACTGCTTATTGACTCAGTTTTGTGGCTTTCAGACAGGCGTGAGTGGGACCGGCTGGGTAGGGGGGCTGTGCTTCCCACCTTCATGTGATTGGACATCAGCACTGAGGAGCCAATGACTGGACTATCATCGGTTGGTGTGTCCTGAGGGGTGCTGCTCTCTGGGGACGTGACCTCTGCCTCCATGGAGCTGTGGCCATTCTCATGCTCAAAGTCCCGGCTAGCTTTACTGTCTTTGCTGTCGCGAGCGAAGGAGGAGCGGGAAATGACGCCAAATTTGCGGGTTCGTTTGCCGTTCTGTCCATTCTGTGTGGGGCTGCCTGCAGGCTCTGAGAAGACATTGCGCTCATTAGAGACGTCCACGGAGTTGCCCCCACTGCCATTGCATGGAGGGAGAGGAGCCTTGCGTTTAATTCTTCGCAACATGATCAGGTAGATGCAGCCTCCATTCCAGCACTGGTCCGCCAAGTAACTGAAGAAAAATAAGAAAAAAACAGTTATCTGCTAATACATGATAAATACAATGTAAATCAACCAGATTGATTCCAAAATAAACACGTTTCTCCCTCAATACTGAGGATTACAGAGCTGTCCATCAAATCAAAGATTTACAATCACACTGAATACACTGCCCTACAGTCAAATGCATATTTACAGATCACACCCAGGTGACCTATTTTCTCTATAGAACACCAAAGATGATTTTTTAAAAGAATATCTTGTCCACTTTTTTTTTTACATGTAAAAGCTAATATATATATAAATGTATATATATATATATATAAGTAAACTAAATGACCTACGCACTATATTCAAAGTGTTACGAAGCCTTTATTTACAAATGTTGACATCCACTGTAGCTCTGCTTTGTGCATTCAAGAGAGTTCATGAGAGAGGTACTGGGGTTCTGTTAAACCAAATCTTTTCATGCAGTCCACAAAACCAATCCAAATTCTTGTTTATAAATCTGATCTGGTTCTTGAGTTCAAACAATGACGCAATGATGTGGCTATAATGGCCCACTGGAAGATTAACAAAATCAATTTTGTTCTGTTTCTCAATTAAGGTTATTGTATGACTTCGGCTTTATTGTCATTTTAGTGTTTGACAGCCCCTGTCTTTATACCAAGAAGTATACACTGGGTATTTTATTTTTATTTATTTATTAAAAAAAAAAATCTGCAGCACAACTGTTAAAAATAATAATAATACATGCTTCTTGAGAATCAATTCAGCATACTAGAATGATTTCTGAAAGATCATGTGACACTGAAGCCTGAGGTAATGGCTATAAATTACATTTTAAAATATATTAAATTTATATTAATATGTTAATATTTTACAATATTACTGTTATTATTGTATTTTTGATCAAATAAATAAAGCCTTGGTGAGACTTCTTTCAAAAACATTAAAACTTTGATCGGCCCTTTTTAACCACAGTGTATATTGCACCTTTTGTGCTTTATGGATACATACAATCAAATTATACAAAAACAATGCGAGGAAGAGAAAAAGACAAAGGAGTTTCTAAATCTGACATAATTAATGGTTTTGGAATTATCTGGGAGTTTTTGAAATAAGGAAGGGCACTGATACAAAAAAAGTGCAGAGCATGTTTTACACCATGTCTAGACAAGTGCAAAGACAGAGTCATGACAGAAGAAACTGATATACTGATATAGTGATATATGGCACCTCAGGGACATGTCCCAGGACACTCAGGAAGTTTAACTGCTAGCAGCAGAAAACACTTTCACAGACTTATATGACCACCATTTTAGCTCTTCTCTCACGTGATTCTCATAAAGAGAGCTTAGACTGACTTATTTAGCTGTATACTGAACATTCTGACTATCTCAGCTGGTTGAGACCTGAACATTTATTATACATTAACAAGTTATAAATGATCAAAGTTAATAATTTGTGCTGCTTGCTTTGCAAAGTTTGGTTTTAATGGTGCCATATAAAAGGTGACCTCAAAGCACAAAGCATGAAGGATTTATGTATCTTAAATAAAGTTTTTAAATGCTTAAATCACATCTATGTATCCTTAAAGGGACAGTTTACCCATATATGAAAATTACCTCATAATATTCTCACCCTCACATCATTTCAAACCCGTATGACTATGGAACATACAAGTAGATATTTGTGAGATGTCTTAGTGTTTCTTGTCCATACAATGGAAATATTTTGTGTTCAGCAGAAGAAAGAACAGGTTTCAAATGACATGGCAATGAATAAATAATAACAGAACTTCATTTTTGGATGAACAATCCTTTTAAAGCAGACCAAATAAAGACAGAGACAAACTGCCGAACAACCATCTAGCCTTAAGAAATGTAATAATAAGTCAAAAGAGCACACACACCTGGAGTTTAACTGATGTCAGGGTCCCAGGGTCAAATGAATGTCCTTCAATATTATGGAAACACTACATCCAGTGCTGCACACAGATCTAATTAACTGTGGCTGAGTGATTTGTTTCCCTAGTTTTCCAAGCTTTCAGCTGTACAATAGCATGGGGGAGTGGACTTTCTATGACAATGACTAGCCATACTGTCAGTGCAAAACAAAGCATTTGCTTACATCCCCTAAACAGCGAGCCAGACAATGGAGGAGATGAAAGAGAGACTAGGTGTTTTTGAGAGAAAGAGCATGATTAAATGTGTCATAAATGGAATATCATAAGTACAACATGCTAATGTTTTCAGTTTGGTCATCAAAAGAAGTTCTCAACACACTCATACTCAGCAATTACAAAATAAGTCTAATAACACAGTCTTCGTTGTTGTTTTTTTGCTTGTTGACATCTTTACAGTGCATCCAATGTTATCAGTATATGTTGCTATTATTCACCTCTTAATATATGTTTCATGTCATGCCTCACTTAAAGTTGTAGTCATGTATATGAGAACCTCATGAGTTTCAGCTCAAATCATCTGTCAAAAATGATGCATTCTGCACTCTGGGCAGCTGCTAATGACAGAGCGAGGTCAAACCTGTTGTTTAGATGATTACAGAGCCTAGGCATGCAAACATACCATATGAATTCATCCTCAAAATGAGCAAGAGCTGTTTTTAAATAAACAACATGCATGATAGCTTCAGGTCTGATCCTCTCTGGAGATCAGGATCAATGAGGTATGCAAATGCAGTCATATTAGATCTCCTGGAACTGAAACATGCAAGGACTGAAAGTACTGGCACGTTAAAAATACAACAAAGTGAGGAATGTTCAGGAAATGTCGATGAAGATCACAATTCCCTGAAGAAGGAGGCAGCAGTTTTATGCAGTTTCTAACAGCTTGGATGTTTCAGACATTTTCAGGTAAAAAAAAAAAAAGCACATCTCTGGAATTTGTTGGTTTGACACACTGTCTGAAGCTTTAAAGCAGCTGTGGTCTCATTTTCGTTCAACTGGAGACAATGGACTTCGGGCCTCTAGTGTTCTTTTATTGTGGTGTGTCTTTCCCTCTGTCATCTAGCTGATAATGAAAAGTGTCTGACCCATTTCTGTCATGATCTGTTTTCCATGAGCTTCCCTTTTTGATAAGAACAAAGTTTGTAATGTTGTGGGACTCGAGACAAAAATCATCCCACATGAAAATCAATGGAAAAAGGAGAAAATATCTCAACATAACTCAACCGAATCTATCTTGGTACAAATCTGCCACATGCAAAATCCAAATCTGCATTCCTGGATTCTGATGACAGTCCCAATCTCAATGACATATGACATATGTCACATGTGGACAATTGGTGTGCATGTCCTAACAACTGCACCCTGCGTAACTGCAATTACATTGTGCCAAAACAGAAAAAACAATGTGAAAATATTTGAGGATTTGAGTTGTTTGTTTTCTTAAGAATATTAGAAGTTGCAATGAAACGGAAATAACGGCAGTAACAGATTTGAAAAGGAAAAAATGTTGCGCAGGGACTTGTTTTTGACTGCATGGGGTTTAAAGGGATAGTTCACCCAAAAATGAAAATTTTATGTTTATCTGCTTACCCCCAGGGCATCCAAGATGTAGGTGACTTTGTTTCTTCAGTAGAACACAAACCAAGATTTTTAACTCAAACCGTTGCAGTCTGTCAGTCCTATAATGTAAGTGGATGGGAATCACGGCTAAAACATACAATAAAACTAAAAACAAAACATACACAAACAAAACCAAATTAAACCCTGCGGCTCGTGACGATACATTGATGTGTAAAGACACAAAACGATCGGTCTGTGCAAGAAACTGAACAGTATTTATATCGTTTTTTACCTCTGATTCAGGCAATCTCCGAACTGTTAGAACTCTCCTGAGTGCGTTCTCCTGAGCGCGTTCTCAACAGGCGTCGTCTTCTCCTTCTTCTTGCTTTATGGCGGATCGCAGACTTATAAGTGCATTACTGCCACCTATCTCTCAAATGGACCATTGACACTCCATCTACAATCTCAATTAGGAGTGTCAATGGTTCACTTGAGAGATGGGTGGCGGTAATGCACTTATACAGTGGTGTGAAAAAGTGTTGGCCCCCATTCCTGTTTTTCAATTTTTTTGCATATTTGTCACACTTAAACGATTCAGATTATCAAACAAATTTTAATATTACACAAAGATAATGCAAGTAAATACAAAATGCAGATTTTAAATGATTATTTATTTTATTAAGGGAAAAAAGCTGTCCAAACCTGCCGGGCCCTACGTGAAAAAGTAATTGCCCCCTAAGTAGGGCCACATAGGTTTGGACAGCTTTTTTCCCTTAACAAATGAAATCATCTGAAAAATCAAATGAAAAACTGCATTTTGTATTTACTTGCATTATATTTGTGTAATATTTAAATTTGTTTGATGATCTGAAACATTAAAGTGTGACAAACATGCAAAAAAATAAGAAATCAGGAAGGGGGCCAACACTTTTTCACACCACTGTAAGTCTGCGATCCGCCATAAAGCAAGAAGAAGAAGAAGACGCCTGCTGAGAACGCGCTCAGGAGAACGCGCTCAGGAGAGTTCTAACAGTTCGGACATTGCCTGAATGTATGTATCGTCACGAGCCGCAGGGTTTAATTTGGTTTTGTTTGTGTATGTTTTTTTTTTAGTTTTATTGTATGTTTTAGCCGTGATTCCCATCCACTTACATTATAGGACTGACAGACTGCAACGGTTTGAGTTAAAAATCTTGGTTTGTGTTCTACTGAAGAAACAAAGTCACCTACATCTGGGATGCCCTGGGGGTAAGCAGATAACATCAAATTTTCATTTTGGGGTGAACTATCCCTTTAAGAGGACTAAAAGTTCGACATACAAAACTAAAAATCAAAAAAGAAACATACACATGGATAAAGTGTTAACAACAAGATTAAGAGAACGTGATTTAGAAAATAAATGAGGTACATTTTTGATTTCATGCCTGTTCACCCAAAAATTAAAATCCCAGACCAGACTGAAAAATAAGTGTGGAGGAACAAAC